AAAAAAATCAAACCAAGTATTATAGCCCTTTTAGAATTTGCCTAGCAGGCTTTCCTACTAGAAAGCAGAAAATATCTTTTCTAAAAAAAATCTAAATTAAAAAACAAATCAAACCAAAATTGGTCCTAGTGACACTGCAAAATACCAAAACCAAAGAAAAGGTCTTAAAGTTAGACAAATAAAAGAGGCCTCCTGTAGAAACAAGAATTAGACTGCAACCAACTTTTCAACAGCAACAATGGATGTCCAAGACAACAGAATGGTATCTTCTTCAATGATATCTTCAATGAGTGAAAGTAACCATCCATACTTAAGAGAAAATGAATTTCGCAAGGACAAAATAGACACTTTCAGATAATAATATGTGAAAAGAATCTTTCACCCACAAACCCTCACTAGAAGAATTTTATAAGCTCTAATTCAATATTTAAAAATTATTCCAGGGCCGGGCACGGTGGCTCATGCCTGTAATCTCAGCACTTTCAGAGGCCGAAGCAGGCGGATCACAAAGTCAAGAGATCGAGACCATCCTGGCTAACACCATGAAAACTTGCCTCTACTAAAATACAAAAAATTAGTCGGGTGTGGTAGCATACTCCTGTGGTCCCAGCTACTTGGGAGGCTGAGGCAGGAGAATCACTTGGACCTGGGAGGCAGAGGTTGTGGTGAGTAAAGATCGTGCCACTGCACTCCAGCCTGGGCAACGGAGTGAGAAAAAAAAAAAAAAAAAAAAAAAAAAAAAAAAGGCGGCAGCATAACGGAAAAAAAAAAAAAAAAAATCCATATGGAAGGTCTAGAATGCAAAGAATTATCAACAAAAGAGGTGGGTAAACTAAATAGGATTCCCATGTAAGATAGCCTGTAGGTATCTTTTTTTTAAAAAGGTGGAGCTAAAATACATATGAAAAACAGGCCAGGTATGGTGGTTCACAGGACTTAATCCCAGGACTTTGTGAGCCGAGGCAAGATGACGGCTTGAGGCCATGAGTTTGAAACCAACCTGGGCAACATAGAGAGACCCAGTCTACAAAAAACTTAAAAAATTAGCCAGGCATGATATTATACACCTGTGGTCCCAGCTACTTAGGAGACTGAAGTGGGAGGATAGCTTGAGTCTGGGAGGTCAAGGCTGCAGTAAGCTGTGATCGTGTCACACTGTACTCCAGCCTGGCTGACCTTCTTAAAATAACTTAGAACATCAATTGCTTAATGTTTTGAGATCACCGAGGGTAAAGACGTTAGAGAGTTAAGAATACACGTTGGCCGGGCGCAGTGGTTCATGCCTGTAATCCCAACACTCTGGGAGGCCGAGGTGGGCAGATCACCTGAAGTCAGGAGTTCCAGACTAGCCTGGCCAACATGTCGAAATCCAATCTCTACTAAAAAAAACAAGAAATTAGTCGGGTATGGTAGCAGGCGCCTGTAATCCCAGCTACTCAGGAGGCTGAGGCAGGAGAATCGCTTGAACTCAGGAGGCAGAGGCTGCAATGAGCCCAGATCGCGCCACTGCACTCTAGCCTGGGCAACAAGAGCAAATCTCCTTCTCAAAAAAATAAAATAAAATAAAATAAAATAATATCTGTTATAACTTCTAGCTTAATTATTAGTATTAGGTGGCCCAGGCTGTCTCTGCCCTGGGGGCATTTTCATACTCCACATTTTAGGGTTTACCTGGAATTACCCTCCACTGTTCTTTCTACTGCACTGCACTCCACCCATTACTTCATGTTAAAGGTGAACCAGAAAAAGCCTATCTTCCTAACTTCAGGGAACCATAAAGAAAACTACTAGCCAGGCGCAGTGGCTCATGCCTGTAATCCCAGCACTTTGGGGGCCCAAGACAGGTAGATCGCCTGAGGTCAGGAGTTCTAGACCAGCCTAGCCAACATGGTGAAATCTTATCTCTACTACAAATACAAAAATTAGCCAAGTGCAGTGGCACATGCCTGTAAGCTCAGCTACTTGAGAGGCTGAGGTACGAGAATCGCTTGAACCCAGGAGGCAGAGGTTGTGGTGAGCCAAGATCGCACCACTGCACTCCAGCCTGGGTGACAGACTATGTCTCAAAAAAGAAAAAAAAAAAAAAAAAAAAAAAAAAAAAAAAGAAAAGAAAAGAAAAAGAAACCTCCTGAGTCCTGAACAGAGCAGTAAAATAAAAAGGGCGGGGGAGAGAATGTCATGGTCTTAGATTGGCCATAGCAGGTTCTTCCAGTTTGTGTAAGCCAGGGAAACTCAAGCTTTGAACTTTGTGATCACACTTAATTAGTAGAGACCCCAAATCTTTGACAGAAATAAACCTAAGGGCTTTGCGGAGAAGAGGGCATATATCCCAGCCTTAGGGGAATCCCCATAAATAATTCTCTCTGTGCAGTAACCAGCATGCAGTCAAAAACAACCAGGAACAGAAGAAACAAACCAACACGGAAATAACCAGCTCAGACAGACAGATCAGCCTGAAAAATATTCCAACAGTGTCAGTCATGGATTATAAAAACTGGGTGCTTTTTATGTTTAAACTGGTTAAAATTTTTTTTTTAATATTCTGGATGCCTTTAATACATTTATGAGCAAATATTGATGACAACAACATTTTAAATACATCAATAACTGAGAAAGGTGATACACATCTATTTGTGGCTCTACTGACCCTAATTGGTCAAAAGCACGTCATTTTGCAAGACATGAGAAAGGAGGAGGGGAAGAGAAAAGGAAAGAAGGCTGAAGGGGAACCAAAGTCCAGGATTTTCCAGAAATGCATGAGCCTCCAGAGTATGGAAGTCTGCAGTACACTGGGTTCCAGCAACCTCAGCGGGACCTAGTTCTCAGAAACACAAGCATGTCCAATGGATGAAACCTCAGCTGAAAACACAGAAGGTAGTAGTATCCAAAGACATTCCAAGGTCTGGGAGGAACAAAGTATGATACGGTTAACGATCACAGACTTAGCAGGATCTGGAGGCATCACCAGTGGGGTTCTTCTCCCACTACCTTCGATAACCCAGGTGAAAAAGCAGGAGGAGCAGGGGAAGATTTAATTACGGGTTACGCTGTGGCTGGCAATATCCCGGTAGAAAAATGAGTAAACTATGTACATGGATGCATGCTTATATAGTAAAATGCCAAAGAAGAAAAACAAGAAAAGAAGCGTTCAACATGAAAGTCAGATAAGTGGTTACATTTAAGGGGAGGAAGGAGGTTTTAACTGTGCAGCTGGGAGGGGTACAAAAAGGGGCTTCTGGGGAACCAGAAATGTTCTTCTTTCTTCATCTGGGGAGTGTTCATAATTCATAATTCACCAAGCCATGCATTTTTGCATCTTAAACTTTTAGGAATAAGATATATTTCAAAATTTAAAAATAAAAGAATAAAATAGACTGAGATACATGAAACGTCAACTATGGAAAGGCAAGGCAAGGTAAGGCACTGAGTAAGGGCTGATCGAGGGTGGAAGGCAAGATCACTGAAAGAGAGAAGTTGCTATTAGGTCAGCTGGACAGAACATCCAAAGGAATCTTATTAGTATTCCCTGTATCATTAATGAAGACAATAATCTACAGGTATTAGCAGTAGCTGTATATTTATTACCAATAGACAGCATTAAAAATGCTGACATCACATTACCATTCTTAGAGATAACCTGGACTTATACTCATCAATTCATTAAACTAATCAACTTTAAGGCCAGATGTGGTGGCTCAAGCCTGAAATCCCAGCACTTTGGGAGGCTGAGGTGAGCAGATACCTGAGGTTGGGAGTTCAAGACAAGCCTAGCCAATACGGTGAAACCCTGTCTATACTAAAAATACAAAAATTAGCTGGGTATGGTGATGAGTGCCTGTAAACAGTTACTCAGGAGGCTGATGCAGGGAGAATTGCTTGAACCCGGGAAGCGGAGGCTGCAGTGGGTAGAGATCGCACCACTGCACGCCAGCCTGGGTAACAGACCATGACTCTGTCTCAAAAATAAATAAATAAATAAACAAACAAATAAAAACTTCAGAGGCTGGGTGCTGTGGCTCACGCCTGTAATCCTAGTACTTTGGGAGGCCGAGGTGGGTGGATCACCTGAGGTCAGGAGTTCAAGACCAGCCTGGCCATCATGGTGAAACCCNAAAAAAAAAAAAAAAGAAAAAAAGAAAAAAAACTTTCATCCTCAAATCTAGAGCTTCAAATTATAATCATTTTATCATCTCATCTATCGATGGTAAAGTCTGTACATATTAGCACACAATGAAGAATAAACACTACTATTTGCACACATTTACCTGTCAAAGACAAAACGCATGAGCTGCAAGTTGAGAGTGCAAGGAAGGCTAAGAAGTCGAATCTTTCTTGTTGCATTCTGTTTGCTTTGACAGTTCTCGCAAAAATAGCGATTGTCTCCTTCTAATTTTTCTTCCTGATCAGGAATAAGACATATTAATTTTAAAAAGAAGATGGGTTTAAAACAAGTGATAAAACCCTTTCATTTTAGTTAATAGCTCTCACTTAAGCTATTTAACAATAGCTGCTATAAATAATGGACACACAAAAGTAATGGGAACTGCTCAGCAGTGATATTATCAATTTGTATACAACGATATTTAAAACTGATATGCCTGTTTCCCAAATGTATGATGTTAAAAATGCTTGTTTTAGGTTATTTGCCTTGGTAGTCCCATTTTTCTGGGAATTCTAATATAGGTTTTAAAAAGAAATGTCACATGTATTTTGATGCAACATTAATTTAAAAACAGCAAAAAGGCTGGGCAGCATGGTTTATGCCTGTAATCCCAGCACTTTGGGAGGCTGAGGTGGGCGGATCACTTGAGGCCAGGAATTCAAGACCTGGCCGCCATGGTAAAACCGTCTCTACTAAAAATACAAAAATTAGCCAGGCGTGGTGGTGTGCACCTGTGGTCCCAGCTAGTCGGGAGACTGAGACATGAGAATCACTTGAACCCGGGAGGCAGAGCTTGCAGTGAGCTGAGATCACACCTCTGCACTCCAGCCTGGTAGAAAGAGTGAGACTACATCTTAAAAAAATGAAAAAAAGGCCAGGCACGGTGGCTCATGCCTGTAATTCCAGTACTTTGGGAGGCTGAGGCAGGCGGACTGCCTGAGCTGAAGAGTTTGAGACCGGCCTAGGTAACACGGTGATATCCCGTCTCTACTAAAATACAAAAACAAAAATTAGCCGGGCATGGTGGTGTGTGCTGGTAGTCCCAGCTACAAGGGCGGCTGAGGCAAGAGAATTGCCTGAACCCAGGAGCCTGAGGTTGCAGTGAGCCAAGTTCACATCACTGCACTCTAGCCTGGTGACAGAGCAAGACTCAGTCAGTCAGTCAGTCATAGACAGATAGATAGATAAAAAATGGGGAGTGGCAGTAAAAACTATTTATGGGCACCAGAATACAAAATTATCTACATATTTGGTTAAAATTACTGAAACAGGGCCGGGCGCGGTGGCTCAAGCCTGTAATCCCAGCACTTTGGGAGGCCAAGGCGGGTGGATCACAAGGCCAGGAGTTCAAAACCAGACTGGCCAACATGGTGAAAACTCGTCTCTCTTTAAAATTGAGACGGGTACAGTGGCTCATGCCTGTAATCGCAGCACTTTTGGGAGGCTGAAGTGGGAGGATCACTAGATCCCAGGAGTTCAAGACTCTGACTCTAAAACAATCTTATTAAATTAGCTGGGCATGGTGGCATATGCCTGTAGCTCTAGCTACTCAGGAGGAGAGGTGGGAGGATTGCTTGAGCACAGGAAGGTGAGTCTGTAGTAAGCAGTGATCATATCACTGCAATTCAGCCTGGGCGACAGAGTCAGATCCCATCTTGAAAAAAAATAATAAAAAATAAAAAATTACAATTAAGAGTTTACTACATTTTATAAACCAACATACTAAAATTAAATATTTCTACAGGTTTTGATCTAACACACCCTTTTGATAAATATTTTCTTTATAGTATAAACTGGGCAAATATATATAAACTTAAGAACTATTAATACTAACAATTCAAACCTATCTAGTAGAGTCAAACAAAGTGCTCATTCATTTCATATCTCCTAAGTTTCTAGACTGGAAAGCCACTAACCCATTAGATTTTCCTCAATTTCCATTACCTGAACAAAGGAAGCAGGAAGCTAACTACTACAAAAAGTGAACTAGAGCTAAGTTTATTTATTCAACAAAATATAACAATGTAACAATGAAGTCCAAAAGTGAAATTGGTAACAGTTTCCTTCTTCCATAGAGGTACAAATTTTAAAGCACAGTCCTGAGAGTATCATACATTTGAAAGCTCACGTATTCATTTAGCACATTCCTCCCCAACTTTCCCATGTCTTTTAAAGGTTTTTACAGCTTGCTTCCATTGTAGGCTACCTCTAGAAATTTTGTCTTTTTGTGGAAAGAGACAGAGTTTACGAAATAATTTCTGTATTAAAAATTTCAGGCCAGGCTCAGTGACTCACGCCTGTAATCCCAGCACTTTGGGAGGCTGAGGCAGCTGGACTACTTGAGGCCAGGAGTTTGAGACAAGCCTGGCCAACACAGCAAAACCTTAAAGTGCAAAAATTAGCTAGGCCTGGCGGTGCGCACCTGTAATCCCAGGTACAAGGGAGGCTAAGGCAGGAGAATCACTTGAACCCAGAAGGCGGAGGTCACAGTGAGCTGAGATCGTGCCATCGCACTCCAGCCTGGACAACAGAGCAAGACTCCGTCTCAAAAATTAATAAATAAATTAATAAATATGTAAGTAATACAACCTTAAAGGGAAGTAAAACAGTCCTTTCTCTAATAAGACTCATCCTGTTTGGTAGGATGAAGACTACCAAAAGAAATAAGCAGTACTTATTTCTTGTTAAAACAATGATAGCATCCTAGGACATATTAGTGGTTACAGACACGAAAAATAAAAGCATAAATACAGGAATTATGCCAACTAAAGTTTTTGGGACAATGTTTTTAAAAAGTGAATGGAGGCAGCTTGGAGACTGTTAGTTTTGAAGAATGACAAATAACAGTATTTAAACTAAGGTGGCAAATGTGGGTTTAAAAACAGTAAAATATCTTTTTCATTTTTTATCAATTATTTTTATATCCTTAATTCTGTACATATAGATGAACCACCTAATCTTTGCTATGTGCTTACTCACACAAAATGGAATTAACATCTTGGTTCTCCTAAAAAAGTCTTTGTTTCTAAACAGAGGTTCCCAGAGAGAGATTGGCAAACGAAATTGGCAACTGACTGCTATTCCATATTCATCACAAGCCAGTCACAAGTTAGAGTCTCTGAGCATTATAATGTTTACTCCTCAGTAAAAATATTACCTTTATGTTCCACATAAGGCTCCATATCCAAGATTTCTGAGAAGCCAATGTAGGTATTCAGCTTTTTCTTATGTCCAGTTTGCCTAATCAAGAGGAAAGCTGACATTTATATTTAAAGCAATCATAATACAATATATAAGCTCTATTTGTAAACTCAACAGTAGTTAGCTTTCACTTAACAATCTTCCTCTAAAACCTGTACAATTAGAAGTAAACGGAATATTGTTTTATAGATGGACAAATAATAATAGGTTAAAAAATGTGAATTCAGGCCAGGCACAGTGGCTCACGCCTGTAATCCCAGCACTTTGGGAGGCCAAGGTGGGTGAATCATGAGGTCAGGCGATCGAGACCAGCCTGACCAACATAGTGAAACCCCATCTCTTCTAAAAATACAAAACATTTGCTGGGCGTAGTGGTGAGTGCCTGTAGTCCCAGCTACTCGGGAGGCTGAGGCAGGAGAATCGCTTGAACCTGGGAGACAGAGGTTGCAGTGAGTCGAGATTGTGCTACTGCACTCTAGCCCTGGCAACAGTGCAAGACTCCATCTCAAAAAAAAATGTGAATTCAAAGTGCTGATTCCAAACACAGCTTATTTTTCACAAGTTTCAACTTAATCACAAAAGAAATTCTCCTGCTTTACAGAAGACATGCACATGTGCTAACAGTGCCTTGATTTTGATTATAAAATGAAAAATACACTCCATGGGTGTAATGATTACAAAATTTATTCTATTTAAATATCAAGTAATACAAAAGGATAGGGTAATTCAGTTCCTTGCAGTTTTTCTTTTTCTTTTTCCCTGAGACGGAGTTTCATTCTTATTGCCCAAAAATTCTTTATTCTACTTTCTGAGAATAAAAAATGTAAGAATTTTTTACCTTTCTAGTTATCAACTCTATATGGCTGGCTCCTTTAAAATTTTTATGATAAAATCATGAAATATTGACATTTCAAAATGGCAAGCTCCATCTATAACTTTCATCCTCAGGCCGGGCGCGGTGGCTCAAGCCTGTAATCCCAGCACTTTGGGAGGCCGAGGCGGGTGGATCACGAGGTCAAGAGATCGAGACCATCCTGGTCAACATGGTGAAACCCCGTCTC